GTGTACGTGGGCGTGTCAGCACATGAGTAGTCGCTACGCTCACCAGACGGTACCGACAATCGATGTCCGATGAGTCACCTTAATGTGACGTGGTTTGTGAGTATAAAAAAGACAAGTCTCGTGATCCGGTGAGCGATAGGGAGCTGAACAGTCAAGAATGTGGCTGACTGGGTAGCTACAGAGTAAAGGCAATCTAAACTGAGGGGGCGAGAGGCACATGTACAGTTGTTTCCTCGCCAGGGCTAATCACCAGTATGCGGGTAACTGGCATATGCAGCTCTCACAGTTGAGACAGAGTGTCTTCTCTTAGGCTGTAATTACTCTTTTTGACGTCTATCATATGCCCACGCTAGATACGATTAGCACACCAATATGTTTGTCTTCCTCTGTCTCCCCGCCTCACGCTGTGCGTGTGTTTGTGCAGATTGACGAACAAGGAGCTGAGGCCGCCGCCGGATCCGGAGTCGAGATTGGTCCGGCATCCATTCCGGAAACAATGAAATTCCACGTTGATCACCTGCTGGCGCTGGTCTACAGTTCCACTTTTCCAGCGTTCATTGGACATGTTTTTGATCCTGAGGTCGCGTGGAGTTGATCTACATTGACCCGGAAACTTCAGGAAACTTTTATCTTAATTGTAGTTGTTTTGACTGTCAGTGTGCTGTGTTGGCAAAATTTCTTTTCTACTCGAGTAAATCTGCGTGCACCAGTCAGCAAAAATCCCTTATGCCTGTGGTAACAGAAGTTACAAATATTTGTCAGTAAGTCGAGAGTTTGGGGCACGGTCCCATTCTGGCGACCGTGAACCACCTCACATCCTCCTGGCTGTCGGCTGGTGACTCTAAATCCCTTTAAAGGGCTTCCTTTGCGGTCTACCTTCTGAGGTCCACCGTGTGGCCGAATCCAGCTTTGTCTACACCCCGCCTCTGGAGAAAGTCTTCAGTGCCACCAAACCACCCCGCGCGGTCCCCAGTCCAACAGCCTCTGCAACATCCTAAATTTCCCCCAGAAAGGTCTGCACATTCCCATTCTCAAGAGGGTTTGGTCAAGGTATCTTTAGCTGTATCCTGTCTATGGAAACTAAAAAAAGAAGGGAATCTACTCTCTGCAAGGTTAATTGCCAACTAAGCCGTTACAAACTATTTGACAAGAAAGTAAATATCTCATATGCCCGTCGGTTTTAAAAACTGGTCATTCTCACCCGTCTACTTGAACTTTCGTGTATATACATTTAACATGACACAACTGTAAACGAACAGTGCAAAGCAAACCTACAAGTTCCGAAATAAACTTCACCTTTCATTAGACGCGGGGCGGAGCTTCAGCACGACCATAGACTACATGCGCGTCTCATTTGTAGCATAGTCTTTACACGACCAGAGTGCTGGCATACTGCAGATAATCGGTAAGTTTGCCCAGATCAATCCTGCCCATATGTGGTATGCCTTTGAAGATCGCCATGCCTCTTGCCAGGGCCTGAATGAAAGCAAACTTTTAGGTGTGTCCGCACCAGGACGTCATCGCAATCAAGTTGTGTGTGCCGGAATGAACGCGTCTTTCACTGTGGCTGTCCACCAATTACTGATGGATCACGGCTCGACGAATGAGCCGAAAGACTCTAGATAAAAGGTATCCTTCTCAGCTTCAGAACTTCAGTCCTTTGTAGTATATGTCACCACTACTAACTATCAGGAAAGTCAGATTCCAGAAAGTAACGAGTGAATGCCCGAAATCCACTGAGACTTTCAGCTCCACTAGATGCTGACCAGACAGACAGATACAACGGCGCCCAAGGCAGCAAAGCATGGTGTCTTGAAGGAAGAAGCTTTCGACAAATATACTCATTTGCATATCGATTTCGTCTTGAGAGAAGGTTCACCTAGAACCCAGCTGAATCCTTCGTTAATGGTGTTCTCACGTAGAGCGGTGTGAGCGTGGATTCGTCATTTTGTAATTTTCTGAGAATTCCGGAAGTTGTCATTCTTGGCTATAGTTATGATGTGACGGAAAATTCTCTTTAGTTGAGTTCTCTTTAGTTCATCCATGTTCGTCCCTCGCTGAGTAGATACAACGCAAGTTAAACGCGTCAGATTATAGTTTGCCAATCAAACGATAGCACGCACGATGCGTAAATCTTTTACTACTTTGAACGAAATTCCGTAGTTAGAAATAATAACAATTAAAGCCCTTACAGGAGCATAATCTATGGACGATAGACTGCGTTTCAGTGCGAATATTCTTAAAACTATACACAGCTGAGGTCATGCTTTGAACAAAAAAATGTCATTATCATCCGTTGTAATCTGGAAGAGAGCCAAAAAGCACCACGCATAGCCAACTGCGTTCAGATTCGAATTTTGGTGAGTGATTCAATCTTACAGAATCTCTGGACGACCAACGTGGTGAGAAATGGTGAATGGAAACACAAGCAAAGCCTATGAAGAAAATTCGCCTACTGAAATGTGTCAAGTGCTTTTAAAGACTAGGTGGGCTCGAAACCCGACGTCATTTTTTGCGGATGAGCCGATTGAAAGAGTAGACTAGTTTGCCGACCTGGGAAGATGTATCAGTCCCAATGGTCCAACCAGAGACGATATTTTTATCCGAATCTGGAAGGTCACAGCAGATTTGGTGGATTTGCATCACATGTGGCTTCCAAAGGTGGGTTTACAGTGTTCTGATGTGCTCCATATTAACACACGGGTCAGAAACCTGACCGCTGCAAAATCGCCATTGATGTATTCACACCATTGCCCGAGTCTGGTGGGAACACCGAATCAGTAATCTTGAAGTACGTCGAACGGTTTTCAGAGGAATGAATTCGCTTACGGTAGTTGAATTGATCACAAAGCATAGGTTGAATTGGCCTGGTCACGTGCTCGGTATGCCAGTCGGCCAGCTTCCTTGAGGGAACCTTTTCCACTTTCACGCTAAAGATGGAAATGAGCCAAGGTAGGTCAGGCAATTACTTCGCAGCGGGGTATGAAAGCTATTACCAGCAAACTCAGTTACGCTAGTCGTTGTCATCTCCTTGGACGGGGACTCAGAGAGGGGATAAATTAATGGTTGGCAACATTTTGAGACATGACCCAGTTGCACCCACAATGGCACTCCTGCATCCAAGCTATTGCCTTCAACGCATAGCTCCCCTTCAGATCACCCCAGTTAAAAGATCACTGACAACCCTGGATTTATGTAGCAATTATGTCAGCTCCCGCCTCCAGTCCGCAGCTACCTACCCCACCTCCTCAAATCATCGGTGGGCGAAACTGTACCAATGTATTACACGTACGCGGTTTTTATAGCTGATGATGATGATGGCGATGATGATGATGATGATGATGATGATGATGATTCGGATGATGATGATGATGATGATGATAATGATGATTTGGATGTTGATGATGATGATTCGGATGATGATGAGGAGGAGGAGGAGAAGGATGCTGATGATGATGATGGTGATGATGAAGATGAAAGATGCATTCGGTACACTTTAGATTTCGTCACTATTGTGTATCCATACTGAGATTCAGTTTGCTCCCATCCTCTCCTGGGGGTACTTCCGTTCCACATTAGTCTGTGCAGTACAGAAACCACTGTTCTTAACTGTCCAGTGGAGTGAAATTCTCCGAAATCGGTTCATTGAAGGACACATATACGTGCAATTCCTTTTGGTGCATTTTCTGAATCGGCTTCAGGAACTGCTCGTATAACAGCCCATGTCCGCCAGCGCTTGTCGGCTTTTCACCCAAAGGACGAATTGTTTGCTGAAATTACTCGGTTTCACAGGAGCGACGAACTACCAAGAGCTAGGAGTGTGAAATGACTGACACGGGAGTGAAGCTCCCACCTGGGACGTCAATCATCTCGTGACCTAAAACAACTTGGGTTCTGAATGTCTGCGCGTTCATCTCAAATCATTTTGAAGATTCTCCACGACTTTATGACGCACAGTCGATGCGGGTGAAAAGAACTCACCGCCGAAATAGCCGAACTGAGGAGATCAATATGGGACAACAGTTTTTTTACTCGATTTAAACAAAATATGTGACTGCAAGTCCCCACAATTTTTCAGGGCTCAAACCCTTGTGATTGTTACAAGAAAACAAAAACCACAGTCACACCAATCTCACCTCTCACCTTTGAACGGTCATCCTCCTGTTCTGGCGTAATTATTCCCGTGAGTCCACACCAAGGGGAAGCACTGGACTCGAGTTTGGCTCTCATTAAAGCTCATTAGCAGTGCATATCCGATGGCCGTGCAGGGATTTGAACCCCGAACAGCTGACATGCGAGGCGAACGTGTTACCGCTACCCTAGCAACGCACGTTGGGCGCATCTGAACTTTCACGTCTGAACAGGCGGACGCGTTCACACTTGAGCGCTGTGATTGGTTGGTGTACCCGACTCATCGAACGACTACCCAGTCATTGTAACCATAATCAACAGGAACCGGTTACCTTTCGAGAAATCACTCTTTTCTCAACTACATGCAAAAAAGTAGCGCACATTCCACTCATTCGGCTGGCATTCCGGAAGAATATGCCTCCAGCAGCAGTGTAGAATCCGAAGCAGGTGCGACATGAATGATGCGCCAGTTGTAAAAACTGAGCCAGTTGTTATGCTTTCCGTTCGTAGTGTTCTCAAAAGCCCTCAATCAGATAAACAAGGTGCGGTGAATGGATATCCAGAAGCTCGGCTGTCCAGGAAAACTCTCACACCCACAGTCTGGAAAAGGGGATCTCCGTTGTCTCGACTCAAAGTGGACAAGGGAGTTATCGTTCAGCCTTAACGCCCTTCCGGTGCCTAGCTGCCCTGCCACCCGAAGGAAGCACGAGGACTTGGATACTCTCAGGGGGGGGAAGTCGAGAGGCAGAGGTCAGGTTCGAACCACGGAACTTCTGGTCAGTAAATTCGCGCTTTAACAATTTGAGCCATCTCGTCCCCAACAAGGGAGTTAAGCGAGGTTGTGTTCTCACTCCAACTATATTTACACCATGAAGAATCCTTCTGAACTCTCAGGAACGACTGGTCTTTATTTGCAGCACCCATTCCATGGACCTAACTGGATGCCACGACAGAGGCTACTCGCAATCTGCGCGCGGGCGCCAAGGACGCGGCGTGCCCAGCCTCGACAATGTCTCGGCTACACCATGGCGACGCTTGATAGACAATATAAAGCGAATGGCTGGCAAACGCCTCCTGAGGCAAACCATGTAAAACCAGTTGAGTTCGAGCATGCCGAAGTTCTGCAAATGGATTCCAGGTGATTTTGAAAAGCTGTAATCTTAGTTTTAGACTTCGAAAAAATCGGACACAAGACAAACTGGCTTTGTGGACTGCAAAATCTCGAAGGGCTTAGGATGACATTCAAACTGGTCGCGGTAAATTTCCTTGTTTCCTGACTACTCATGAGTAGCGTGGCCCACTTGATTTATAATGATACTGTTTGTTTCGTTGCTGCTCGCTCAAAATGATGGCATGGTAACCAGTCACCGGGATCTGTGCTAACTGCGCGGTCATACGTTTGAGTAGAATGGAGCTCGCCGGTTGCCAAACTGCGCAACTAAGGATTGTTGTTCTAGTGATATCATCATCATCATCATCATCAT